CTTTTTTCTTTTTGCTTATGTGGTGCTGAGGAATCGAACCCAGGGCCTCCAGCATGCAAGGCAAGCGCTCTACCACTGAGCCACCTTCCCAGCCCCTCCATGAGACTCTTATCTCCAATAAACCACTCAGAAAACTGGAAGTGGCACTGTGGCTCAAGTGGTAGAGCACTAGCCTTGAGCTGAAGAGCTAAGGGACAGTGCCCAGGCCCTGAGTTCAAGCCCCAAGACCGACCAAAACAAAAAAGGAAGGAAAAATAATAGGTAGGTCTTTTCTCAGGTTTGAACATTATTTCAGGGAAAGAAAGGCTTAGAATCACTTGTAGAAGATACAGCATATGTATAGAGCGTGTATACCTAAGGTGCATATAACATGCACATGGTTCTGTATACAAACACATATAAGAACAGTACATTGACCCTAAAATTTGCCAGTACACGACCATAATTTACCTCCAACAGTAGCCAACAGTTTTGTATGGTGCAACTCTTTATTATTCTGGAGTAAGGAGCAACTTACTTTGTCTTTTCCACAAGTAAGTTAAAACTGATATAAAACTAAGTACAATCAAAATGATATACACTCATCTGACATTCATTTTTTTTTTTTGGGTCCAGTCGGGGCCTGAACTCTGGGCCTGGGCGCTGTCCCTCAGCTCTTCAGCTCAAGGCTAGCGCTCTACCACTTGAGCCACAGCGCCACTTCCGGCTTTTTTCTTTTTGCTTATGTGGTGCTGAGGAATCGAACTCAGGGCCTCAGGCATGCAAGACAAGCGCTCTACCACTGAGCCACCTTCCCAGCCCCTGACATTCATTTTTATACCTAATTTCCATGGGTATTACCACAATGCCCTGTGGTTCCTAATGAAGGATAGTGTCTCATTAACAGAGAAATGTGTTAAGTGTTAAAATAGACATTTTCTCTTTCCTTCTTCCCTAGGGCTGTGTCTGCAAAGATAAAGGCCAGTGCTTCTGTGATGGGACCAAAGGAGAGAAGGTAAAAAACAAAACAAAGACAACAACAACAAAAAAACTAAAGCTAAACTAAAAAAACCTTGATACTGCTTCTTCTCACTCTATCACCAAGTAATTCACATTCTTTCCCAGCAGTAGCAGGAAGATAGTCAATGTGTTGTTTAATCTAGTGTTAAAGTAATTATATAGAAACATTGACCCCTTAAAAATAATACCTTCTAGGAAGTTTCAGATACCTTGTATAAATAGTGGCAATTACATTATATTTAACTCTGTAGGTCTGTAAAGAATCCAGAGCAAGTGAGCGGGAAAAGAAAGTTTATAGGAAGTCTTCATAGTGTACACTGTTTACAATATTGCTAAACATAGGAGGAGCAATGGAAACATTTTGACCTACTCATTTTCACATAAACACTAAAAGCAACAAGAATGCCACAGACTGGTTCAAGATCGCCCCCTAATGGAAAAAAATCCCAAAATTTAGCAGCAGGAGGTACAAGTAGCTCCATTGCAGACTTTAAGAAAAAAAAAGGAATGCTGTGAAATCTCATTAATTCGCTCCATTAACTTGCAATTGGTGATAATTAAGACAGGAGCGGGACTAAAGTTGTCTCTTTGTTTACAAAACTATTTTCTTGGAGACACTAATTAATTGTGTTACAGTACTGAAGGCTGGCCATTAAAAATATTTTTAAGAAAACATTTGTTAAACACTTTAGATGAAGCAATTTATGCACAAAAGTTACATGCTAAGTACACTTTTATATTTATTTTTAAGTGTTTTATAATTCGCATGCAATTTGATTTAGGTTTTTTTCCCCCCTGATGCTACGAATGTTGTGTATTCAGACTCATGATGGAAAAGCTCTCTGTGATTCATCATGCACCCAGCTACCTGAAAAAAACTGTTTAGCGTGTATGGAATTACTGAGTAGTGCTGTGTCTAGCAGTTCCTCTATTCCTCTTTGTATTGGGTATATGAAAACATCTATACAGATAATAAAGTATCTGATTTGATCTTTTTTAGGGGTTCTCATTTGGCAATTGTGGAACAAAATTAACTTTATCAGCCAGCAGCTTTGCTCTTAATGGCCAATCCCCGGATTCATATCTACACAAAGATTATTTATTACTAGAACACTGTAAAGCATTGAACCTAAAGTATTTTGATTCACATTTGCCAGGGGCTTCCCTACAATTCTGCCTCCTTTCCTTTAAAAAGTATTTTTATCTCACACTGTTGGTACATTACCATTGATATCTCTGCATCTCCTACAGAAATAACAGATTGAGTTACTAATTCCTCTGTAATTGAGAAAGTTTCCAAAGTCTGGCATCTGCAAGGTGTTCTTCTTTTTAAGCTATGAAATAATTCACACACTCTGAGAACACATTCTTGGGCCTTATCCCCGCCCTCTCCATCACTCAACAAACACACTCCACTCACCTTGATGCACTCACTGGATTTCCCCTCCATTCTTGACCTCCTCACCCTTCACCTCTGCCCTGCATAGCCCTACCATTTCAGATGAGAGCCAGGGCAGCACTCTGAAACCTGTGGACAAAACACTCCAGCTGGTGGCTTTCACTCCACAGGACTAATTCTTATTTCTTTAACCAAGGAAACAATAGCATGCAACACAATCATCTACAAGAGAAGGCAATGATTGTGTGTTGGTTGTTAGATAGTTGCTGTTGAGGGTGATTCTTAGTTTTTGTTTCATTTTGTTTTGACAGGGGGAGAAAGGCTTTCCTGGACCCCCTGGTTTTCCTGGACAGAAAGGGTTCCCAGGCCCTGAAGGCTCGCCGGGACCCCGGGGACCCAAGGTATACCATCCAGTAAACTCCAAGAGTTTCTCCTTCTTGCCTAATACTTTTTTTTAATGCTTATCCAGTAGGCTGCTGAGAATCTGGAGGGAATTCCATCATTTTAGCAAACTGATGGGTGCACAATAAACTTCTGGTCTCTGATCACAGATGAGCCCTCAGAACTACATTTTATTCCAAGTCTTCAAGCCCCCTACTCAACTTCCTCCTCTCCACCTTAACACATGTCCATCTGGATATAAACAACCTTCTTTCTCCCACATAAGCATAAGCTGATTTTACCTTCCACCCAAGATGTCACCACCTGGGACCTTAGTCCAAGTGTCCTCTCCCTGGCTGTACCCTCCAACTTCCCTTTGGATGATGGCTTTTCTCTTTCAGTCTGTAAGCCTGTGAGCATTTCACCATAGAACATTGGATGTCCTCTAGATTTGTTAGGTCTTTGCCCAAAAGATTACAATCTTCTTCCTGTCTTTTCTTTCTTCGCAAGCTTCTTGGATAAATACTATCTATTCTTTAGCCACTCATCTTTTCCCTTCTGCCTCTCTCCGAAAGTATCCCTGAAAAACCTCACCAATGACCTTCAATAGACACTACCAATGGCTACTTTGTGTCTTTATCTGACTTGAACTTCTTTGCTCTGTTCCAAATTGTGTGGGTCCCTCCCTTCTCCTTGAAACACTCTGTCTTTGTTTATGGAGGCTGCTGATCCTTATGCTTTCCCTATCTCCCTCTCCACTCCTTCCTTCCTTCCCTGGGTCCCCCACCTTTTTTTTCCCTGATTCTTTAAGCACTTGATTCTTACCAGATTCTTACCAGAGCTTGCTATCTCCACTGCTCGCCCCCTCCCCCATTCTCATCCCAAAGTCTGTGATACACAAAGGGCTTTATTTCAACAAATACCCTGGAGGATTTACTAAATAACTGCATAACCAGTAGATGTGCTGATTGTTCTTTCCTATGGGGGACGACCTTAGCTAGGCTTAAAACCCCACTCTCACGCACGCACATTCATTCTCCTGACGGCTGGACTAAAGTAGCTCCCTAGCTATGAACTAATTAGTGGATTATGAGAAGAAGTTAAGAGTTGATCTGTGCTGTCTTTGTAAATACAGTTGCATATTGTATTAGACTATGTATTACAATAGGGTATCACATATTTAAATGATCATCAAAGCCAACGTACTGTTTCTTTATTCCATGTCAGACACAGGGGCATCTATTTCTCTTTATACTTCATTTGTTGCTCACATTAACACCATAAATCCTGACCAAAGTGACTCACCATGTAGTTTCCATCTGTAGTTCTGTGTTACAGATGAGGAAACTGACAAAAGTACCCAGGCAATTTGTCTTGGGCAAATTAGCTAACAAATGGCCGCATGAGAATTGAAGCTCAGTTTTCGATTGAGGCAGAGGGGATGTTTTCACAGCCAAACTAATTCAAGGGGTATCCTACAGTTCAGTTATGAGTGCACATTAAACTAGAGTTAGGTTGAGAATTCAGTCCCACAAAACTGTTCACGCCACATACTTGGGAGGCCAATCAGTGAATCCCCAGGGTTATCCGCACTTCATCCCAACTTGATTAGAAATCAGAGGCTCCACCACCGCATCCCCTGGGTTTGATAATTAGCTGCAACAGCTCATAGAACTCAGGGGAACACTGATAATTGTTACAAAGGATGTGATCAAGGATATATGTGAACAGCCAGATAAAGAGGTATTTAGCATGAGGTCTGGCAGAGTCCCAGGCCAGGAGCCGGTGTCGTTGTGGAGGTGATCCTGACCATGCCTCTGGCACATGCGTGTCTACCATCCCAGAAGCTTTCTGAAATCTCTTCACTTTATAGATTCTTGGGGAGGCTTCATCCTATTGTAGTAGGAAGACCCCCTACTCAGGCAGGCAAGCCCACCTAGTCATCTGGAGTGACAGAGCCCACCGCAAAAAAGTTGTTAACAAAGAAGCGACTTTATTGAGAAGGTTCCTACACTAACGGGCCAGGGCTGCAGCACAGGCTCGGAACTGATACAGGGACCCCGAGCGGCCCACATACTTTGGTTTTGCCTTTTAAAGGCAAAATCCATGAGGTCGGGCCCAGTCACACACAGGTGACCAATGGGATGGGAACACACACAAAGGATTGTACAGTCATAGTAGACCACACGCAGGTGGCCAGTGAGGTTACAGTTTGTCTGTAATGGCTGTTTAAACCAGCCAATCACATTGGTTTAAAATGGCATGCAAATTTAGCAGGTAAGGCAGGGTCTACCTTTTGGTGGGCAAAAGGCAGGGTTTACCGCAAGCACATGCAAAAGGCAGGGTTTACTGTAAGTACGAGGTGCCACCAGTTTGAGCCAGATTACAACCAATCTGTTTTATCTGTCAGTCTTACTCAACAATCAAGGGTGGGTTAGGCTGTTAAGGGAAGGGGGACCAGATGCATGTTTTTCATTCTGGAAAATAGGCCCAGTGAATCTAAAATCCTAAAACAAAGGCAAAGCTCAAAATGGAATCCTACCAGCTTGAGCCCCATCTCAGGGTCCACTTCACTATGGACATACTCTATTATTAACTCAGTTAACAGCCCCCCTCCCCCATTGAGAGTTGGAGCTGCAGGAGTTGTATGCTTCTAATCATAGCCCAGGACTTTCTGGGGCCCAGTCCTCAACCAGGAACCCACTGAGAATCCCTCATTAAAACAAAAGATGTATATTTTACTCAGGAAACCCCATGGAAATTAGGAGTTCTGTGACAGAAACTGGAACCAAAGACCAAATACAAGAACAAAAGCTGATCTCTGTACCCGCATGCCTCAGGAAGTAAGGACAGATTTTAATTACTTAATTTATTTGTCAGTTGTGGAGCTTGAACTCTGGGCCTCGGTGCTGTCTTTCAGCTCTTCTGCTCAAGGGAGCGCTCTACCACTTGAGCCACAGCGCCACTTGGTTCATTGGAGATAAGAGTTTCATGGCCTACTTTTCTTCCAGGGCTGGCTTTGAACCACTCAGATCTGAGCCTCCTGAGTAGCTAGGATTACAGGCATGAGCCACCAGCCTCCAGCTCAATAAGGAAGGATTTATTTTTTTATTTTTTATTTTTTGGGTCTGGTCATGGGCCTGAACTCTGGGCCTGGGCGCTGTCCTTCAGCTCTTCAGCTCAAGGTTACACTCTACCACTTGAGCCATAGCGCCACTTCCAGCTTTTTTTTTTCTGGTTATGTGGTGCTGAGGAATCGAACCCATAGCCTCATGCATGCAAGGCAAGCACTCTACCACTGAGCCACCTTCCCAGCCCCAATAAGGAAGGATTTAAAAGGAGCCCTGCACCAAGAACAGAAGACAGGGATCACCTATGTGTTTCTTACACCACATGACTGAGGCCAGAATCAAACTCTGAAAACCAGGAGAAAAAAAATACACACCTATAGTTTACAGAAAAATGCCAAAGGTTGCTGTTTTCCCATAACTCTACCAGATGGGAAACTTATCTTATTCATGTGTATAGTCTCATTTACCATTTCTCTTTGCAATGTTAATTTTGAACCAGTCACTCAGATTCTGAGACAAGTCTGAATATTCCTCATCTTTCTCTAGAGCGTGGGCTTCCCTCCAGTTCCCTGTTAGTTACCAGAGTCGGTGGTGCTGCCGTGTGCCTCCGTCCTTGCATCCTGCAACGCAGGAAATGTAGTGAACGTGATAGGAAAGCATATTAGGAAAGGCTATATCAGACCTGCCCACTCACACTTTTGTGCCAAATAAAGAGACATAATGAAGGAAAGGCAGACAAAGGAGATAGATGCACAGTGTGTGGATGCCACGGGAAATCAGCTTCAGTTCACCCTCAGCTGCCTTGAGCTATACAACCCGAGTATTAGGTTCAAATAGAGGAAGAAGTAGAGATAAAGGACAAAAGGTCTGCCTGTGTGGCCTGGCAGGTCATTATCTCAGTTCTGGTTCTCCTGGGTTCACACATAGCTACTAAAAACAACAGGGACAAAGATAAAACCTCTTGTGTCCTTATCTTGGGGTTCATTTCACTTAGCATCATCTTATCTGGTCATATGACCTTTTCTGCTTGTCGTAGACATATACTAGTTATTGCAAATAAAGGAGACCATGGGACCTATGTTTCTTTGGGTCTGGCTTACTTCACTTAATATACTTTTTCCCAAATCTTTCTATTTCCTAATGTACTGGGTGATTTTTTGTTTGTTTATTTCTTTTGTACATCCTTCCCCCATGGTATAACGCCTATTTTCACTGTATTTGATTCTGGTGCTCTGCATCTTATATATACATTTTTCTAATTTGGGAGGGGCAGGGAAATAACAAAATGCTGAAATAAGGATACAAGTTGACCCTGTATCCTTGTAACAATGAGATGTATAAGACACTATGTTGAAAAGGAACTTCACAACTTGTGCGGGAGGGGGGGAGAGAGGAGTTGGGGAGGTGGGGAGGGATGGGATGGTAAAAACAAAGGAGGGATAACAATGCTAGATAGGAAATGTACTCATTACCTTACTCATGTAACTGCAACCCCTCTGTACAGTATCTTTACAATAAAAATACTTTAAAGAAGAAGAAAAAGTAGCTACTGCTGTCATTGCTTGAACCAAACAATATGTTAATTTCTCTAGCTCCAATATGCAGACAGATCATTCTAGGTAATTGTGCTTATTTGGGGGGGGGGGATCTGTGCTGTCCTTTAGCAGTAATTTCAGTCCCTTGGCAGAAGTTACCAATCAGTCTTGACTTCATGGGAACCTAAGGTGATTGCAAAGTGACTATAGAGAGAAGGCTTAGAGCCAGGACAGATGTAAAATAGAGACAAGAACGCCAGACTTTTCTTCAACTTTCAGTTAATTTGAGGGTCCAAGTAAAGAGTCAATGTTTTTCAGCGAAAGCAGTTTAAGCACCTATTAGCAGTGTAGTTTCAAGAGGTTGAAGGCAGATTGTCTCTAGTGTGAGGAGGACAGCAGTAGTTTCTGAGGTTTGAGAACATCCAGCTCCTACATCCAGTCTACGGGGCAGAGGTCATCTGTGGAAGTTCTCATTGCAGTCTAGGGTTTTTTCTCAGAAGTCATGGGATCTTTCCCTCCATGCTATGTTAATAACTGGAGATCTTGGGGAATTTTCCGTATTAGGTTTTCTTTGCATACCCATCACTCACAGTGAGCTGCTAGCTATCAGTAGAATGGATTTGCTACTTCACTTAAATGAGCCTCCTTCCTTTTCATTTTCTTCTTGATATCATATTTTGCTTGTTTGCCCCCAGCATTTCTTGAAAAAAATGCCAGCAATCCATTGAAATAATGATTGCTACCATGGTACAATGCTCACTTCATGTCAGTTACATGATGTGGAAATATTCTACGAGATTCCTGCAGAAACATCTGTTTCATGTTGTTACAGAGTCCATGGTTTAAAGCATAACTGAAAGATAATGCATTCAATTCTCAAAAGATAATTTGGGAAAGAAAAAAAAGCAAATAGCCAAGCAGATGAAAACAGCTTTTAAATAAAGGAACTCACACAGCAAGTGTCTAAGTTAAAACAGGCTCCATTTAAGGTTATTCTCCATGAAAGAGGGTCTCAAAGCTACATTCATTATGTGCCTCAAGCAAGTTTATTTCTGGCTCAAGCAGTACTGATTCCAGTATTAAGCTACTTGTATGTGTCAGGCACATTTGGGTAATAAAGTATTGCCAGTGCATGAAAATTTGGCTGCCATTGTGATTGTGACGTTCACTCTTATCAGACCTGAGCAGCTGTCCTGCAAATGTGAGATATTAATGTGCTAGGAATCGCCAAAAAATCCCTCTTGAATTTCAGATTCTGAATCGATATGTCTGGAAAATGGTGGGCCAGTGTTGGGGGCCGTGGAATGGAAGGATACTGAGACTTTTGCATTTCTAACCAATTCCCCGGTGATCAGTGATGCTAATATCATTGGCCCCCAAACCCTGCTTTGAGTAGTAAGTGTTAGAATGAAATTCTTTTTTCTTTCTGGCAAACACTTAAGCACCAGTGAAATAAGGAAGCAGTTGACCTAAGTAACAATGAAATGAGCACACCTGCAAACCTGACGGTATGTGAATAAGATGGAGAATGTCAATGTGGAATAATTTCAATGTGGAATAATTTCCTCAGTGTTTACCTTTCTTCTTTTCACTCCTTTTCCCTCTAGGGCTCTCCAGGACTTCCAGGACTCACTGGTCCCAAAGGTGTCAGGGTTAGTAGTCCAAAGTAGTCCATCTTGATTACTGAATGAATGACCGTGGTTTAGAAAAATCAACATTGTACCTAAAAAGATACATAAATACCAGACAGGAGTAGGATATTGTATATGGTTTCACAGATGATTTTCAAAAACAAATAATGGTCACCATTTTGAGGCAGTAGCTAACTGATGGTTATATAGCATGAAAGAACCTTCTGGAATGATAGATGCTGTTTATATTGGGAGTGAGAAGTGGCAATTCAAAAGTTTAGATAAAAATGTGTGTGGTGGGGGCTGGGAAGGTGGCTCAGTGGTAGAGTGCTTGCCTTGCATACATGAGGCCCTGGGTTCAATTCCTTAGCCCCCCATAAGCAGAAAAAGCCAGACGTGGTGCTGTGGCTCAAGTGGTAGAGCTCTGGCCTTGAGCTGAAGAGCTGAGGGATAGTGCTCAGGCTCAGAGTTCAAGTCCCACAACACACACACACACACACACACACACACACAAAATGTATGTGGTGATGGTGTACATTATGGTCACAGCACTAAGGTTAATGCAGAAGGATCAAGATTTTGAAATCTATCTGGGATACACACAGCATAACTCTGTCTCAAAAAAACCCGAGGGCTGGGAAGGTGGCTCAGTGGTAGAGCGCTTGCCTTGCATGCACGAGGCCCTGGGTTCGATTCCTCAGCACCACATAAGCAGAAAAAAGCCAGAAGTGGTGCTATGGTTCAAGTGGTAGAGCGCTAGCTTTGAGCTGAAGAGCTGAGGGACAGCGCCCAGGCCCAGAGTTTAAGCCCCATGATTGGCAAAAACAAAAAAACACAAAAAACCTGAAACCAAACCAAATCCCTGTTCTGTAAATGTCAGGTTGACAAAGGTTTTTCAAACCTTTTTAAGTTTTTCCGTCTATTTTTTTTTTTTGCTTTTTGCTATTCCCTATCATAGTTGCAGAAAGTGATTGTTGCAATGGTAAACAATTGTATTTTATTACACTGAACATTGTAAGCTGACTTTGGCCCCTTGTCCTCTTTTTTATGTCTTTAGGGAATAAGCGGATTGCCAGGGTATTCAGGCCCACCTGGACTTCCAGTGAGTATTGGAAAAAGATGTATGCCTTTTAAGTAAGCTCAAACTAAAGAAGATGTTAACACAGTAGCTCAAGGTTGTATGTTCTAACACACTTATGAAATGAAGCAGGTGGCAGCTTAGGATTTAATAATATATTAGAATGTGAATTCATATGACATATGAGTCATGTTATATTTCTGAAAATATAAGCATAATAGAAGAAAAAAGAATAGGAAGGATAGAATAGGAAAAAATAGAATATGAAGGATGGAAGAGGACATAGTATAGAAGAATAGGATAGGATAGAATGGAATGGAATAGTGCAGAACAGAGCACAACAAAATAGAGAACAGTATGATCCTGTTGATTTGTGTAGAATAATAAAGTTAATGTCTGTGAACACTTCACTTTTTCCTTCCTTTCTCCCCATCTTAGAGTAGCACTTATACACAAGACCTTTCATTTTAGCTAAAATATCCCTGTCACTTGATAATCTTATTTTATACAGTCTGTTTTGTTTGTTATGTTGTTTAAATTATATCTAAAAGCATTGTGTAAATTGATTACATATTTAAATAACCATCTGTATTTCAACAGCTACTTTCCCTTGGCTTCCTGGCTGTTTGACCTGGGTCTCCTAATTAAGTCTTATCTTTGATTCTCTCTTCTTTTCAGGGCATTCCTGGCAATTCAGGGCCATACGGACTTCCTGGTTTACCAGGATGCAATGGTTCCAAGGTACGTACTGCTTGCTCAAAAGGGGATAAACAAATCCATTGCTGAATGAATGATTCCAATAGAAACAAAGTAACACTGGGATGAAAACAAGCTATCTTGAAAACATTGTTTTAGCCAGAACCAACAATATGATTTACAACCAGCAACTATTTTTCCCTCTCCTTATACCTTGCTTTCTGATTTTCTTTAAGGGGTTTCATATTTCCTCACAGAAAGAAAACTGGAGGCTAGCCTGGCTATTTTCATCCAAGCTAGTATATATAGATCAGACGCTAAAGCCTTGAGTGCAAAATTAATCTCTGGAAAGGAAAGACTGAGCTCTTCAAGGTCCATTCGCCTCCTTTTGTTTCCCAACTGAAGCTTCCCTCTTCCCCAGAATGATGGCCATGAATGAACTAATTACTAAAGTTTCAAGGAAGCAGCAATTAAAAAGTTCTTGGCACAACTAGACTACCATTTATGCACAACGTGAACGACAGTAGATTTGGATCCTGTTTTCAATTAAGATAATGGTTTTCTGCCCTTCAGTTTCATGACCCAGTAGCCACAAGGAATTTAAATTCCTTTGCCTTTGTCACTGAAAGGTTGAAGAAGAGAAATGGGTTTGATTTGTGAGAATGACAATGTTTTTTCCATCTTCCAGGGTGACCAAGGGTTCCCTGGCATTCCGGGGACACCAGGCTACCCAGGGTTCCAGGTAGGTTTGATTCTCTAAGTCCACATCACAGACATAAAGCATAAATAAAAACAGCCTGTTCTATATGGCGGTGAACACAAATCTCTTATGACTTTAGGATGGCTAGCACAGGCAATAGAAGGCATTTACCTAACGGAATACCTAACAGATGAATACATACATTTTGTGTGTTGTGTGTGTGTGTGTGTGTGTGCGTGTGAGAGAGAGAGAGAGAGAGAGAGAGAGAGAGAGCTGGTTCTAGGGCTTGAACTCAAGAGACTGAGCACTGTCCCTGTGCTTGTTTGATCAAGGCTTGTGCTCTAACCCTTGAGCCACAGATGCACTTTGAGATATTTTTGCTGGTTAATTAGAGAGAAGAGTCTCAGAGACTTTTCTGCCTGTGCTGGCTTTGAACCTGGATCCTCAGGTCTCAGCCTCCTGAGCAGCTAGGGTGACAGGCATTAGACTTGGGTAGCTTTTAACGTTTTATTTTGCTTTTGAGACATTGGAATCAAGATATAGCATAGACAGATTTGCTTCAAGGAAAATCTCAGGTTTGCACAACTCAAAGAGTGAGAGTGAGGAGACTTACAACCAAGACTTCCTCCTGTAGGCCTATGTTGAAGGGAATGAGGTAGAAAGGCCCTAGTGGTAGAAAGCAAGCCACGAGGGACGTAATGTAGAAGTTCAGAGAAGACACATTTCAGTAGAAGGATTGACAGACAATCTGTGGAGAAGTCCCATAAGATGAACACTGATGTTTTGGCATTGGTTTTTAGCAACCTAATATCATTGCCAACCTTAGCAAGAGAATTCTATGGCAGGACAAAGACAGGAGGCAGATTGGGAGCTAGGGAATGGGTGGGAGATGAAGTCTGCAAGGAGAGATGAAAGAGTAGTTTACGAAAGGAGAACGAAGATGAAAGGAGATTTGGTTGTTCTGCTAACATCGGGATACTTGAGCGTATGGAGAGGTCAGTAGGAAATACACAGTCGGGGAGAGGCAAAGTCATAGCACCGACAGGGGAAAGAGGTATGCATCCTATTTGTGAGTCGTTGTTAATGGGTTGTATTTTTCTTTCCCCTAGGGTGCTACTGGTTTGAAAGGACAAAAGGTAAGTCATGGATGAACATTATTATTGTTATGGGGAAGACACCTCTAATGATACATACAAAAAGACACCTTTATTAAATAACAAAACATAAAACATTACTAATCAGATTTCATAATCCAGATCTGAATCCAGAAGCCATCAAAATTCCACCCAGTGTTTAGTCATACTGCGCAGCTCCTCTGGCTCTGTTAAATAAGTTTTAATGATGCACACTTGACACCTTGAAGGAAGCAGGGCTGGGGAAAGAGCACTGATCTCACTCTAGGGCGCCATGTTTTAGGTCAGGAATTGTCACTCAGGTTGGTAGCTTAGGAAATTATTTCTTGGCTCCTTTCTTCCTACCACAGTAAGTTGTCAAATGGAGAAGGCATGAAAATGCTTTGAGTGCCTCAAAGTGAATAACTATTAAGTCTTAAAACATTGCTCTAAATACGTATCCCCAAACACTTTCATCCTTGAGGTAGGGAAACCTTCAGTAAGTGTAGGGTGGGGTTTTGAGATGTTGACAGTTGTTCTGTTTTCCAAGGGTGCTCCTGCTCAAAGAGAAGATGGAGAAATCAATGGAAAAGGAGATCCAGGGGTGCCTGGCCCTCCAGGATTCCAGGTACTGTGTTCTAGGAAAGGCCCTCAGACCTCTCAGTCCCTACTGCTCTCTCCCTCTCTCCCTGTCTCTCTCTTTGTCTCTCTGTCTCTCTCTCTGTCTCTGTCTCTGCCTCTCTCTGTCTTTCTCTCTCTCTCTCACCTCTCTCTGGCTTCATTTCTGTCTTACTTCCCATTTACATGTCTGCATCACTTTAAGCATTCATCCTGTTATAAGAAACTGCATGATGCATATATGCAAAGATGATTGACTACAACATCTTTTTATGTCATTTTCAGTCTCATTCTCCTAAGCTTTCTTGAATATAAAGAATCTTTTATGGCTACTTTTATTTCACTTGTTGAAATCAAGTATGAGTTGTGTCATGAACTGAGTATCATTTATACCTATAGTGTTAAATAACAGCCCTACTTCAAAATTTTCTAGATACTAACCAAAAGAGCTTTATTAGACCACAATTTCTCACCTTGAACCCTGAGTTATTTGCTCAGTCTATTTGATGTAGCCTGGGGATAATCTGGAATGGATAGAAGAAACAAAGCTACTTTGAGGTTGTATATATTTTACTTCGTGATTCAAAAGTCTCCTGGTATATTTTTGGTAACCAGAAATATTCCTAATTTAGTTGGGAATTAGATGTGAGAATTCCTGTGGCAATGGCCTATTTGCCTGAGTCAGAGTTTGAATTGAAGGTGTTCAATTCCTCCTCCACGGTGAGCCAAGCCAACTGATGGTGAGCTGTGAAGTTGGGAGAGGAGCTAGCTATATGGCAGTGTTATAATTAGAAGCCACCATAGGACTCAGGAAGATACAGAATCAGATGGATCTTGCTTTGGGGCTTAGAAAGCATTCAGGGGTCTACATGCTGAAATCAAGAAATCATAAGAAGGAGACAGTAGTAATCCTGGATATGCAACATCCTTTAAATGCCACCTGTGTGCTAATCCTTGTGTCATCATTATAATAAATATTTATTAGATGCCAGTTATGTTGCAATACATATTTATTTCTAGAGTTTAGACTATAGCAGGACACTGATCAATCCCCCCAAAAATAATACTTCCAAGAAATCCTCACTTTCATAAAGTCTGCATTTTAATAAAGAAACAGAAAAAATATGTAGCTTAAAAATCTGTCATATGTTAGTAATGAAATGGTAAGATGGAAAACAATTCAGGGAAGCAGCTACAGGAAAGGCACGCTTGGAAGATGATTTGTGAGTGAGTTTAAATAGGCAGAGGCTAACTACATAAAGGGGGAAAAGGAAGGACTGTGTCATACAGATATCTAGAGAAAGAGGATTCTGAGCAGGAGGATGTCCTAGAGGAACATGATTGACCAAGTACAGAAAAGGAGAAGAAAAAGAGAAACAGGATAGCAAAATATTGAAAATATCTAACCTAAAGAAAGTGTGACAAATGAGAGAAAACATGCAGCCTGTGATTTAGTTGGGTCTGGATTACTTCACTTAATGTAAGTTTTTCCAAGCCTATTTCCTTACCAATGATACACCATCATTCCTTTTGGTGGAAGAGTACAATTCCATTGTGTGTATGTGTGTGTGTGTGTGTGTGTATATATATATATATATATATACCACCTTTTCTTGATCTGTTCATCCACTGAGGAACATCTGGGTTGATTCTATATCTTGTCAGTGGTAAATAATGCTGCAGTGAACATGGTTGTGCTGGTAGCTTTAGTGTGGCTTTGTTTGTACTCTATTGGATAAATGCCCAAATCTGCAAATAAACATACTGGATGGTAAAAGACCAAAAAAAATACACATGGACATAATAAATTATACAGGTCTCTAGACATACACACAGACCAAAAGAGGATATTTTAAAGAGAGGATCACAAAAGCTTAATATCTATGTGCATATGATCATATAAAATGATATTTATCCAAATGAACTCCAAGAAATGGAAACAAGAGAGTTTTCTTTTCCTTTGTCACTGTTTTTGTTTTCTGTACCTTTTGTCTTGTTTGTAAGTCTATCTATTTTGAGGAGAGTAAGGGGAAGCACAGAAATGGTGGGACAAAGGGTAAACAAATACAACAGTGGCACTCATTAAACACTACGTTGAAAATGAACTATGCAACTTGTGAGGAAGGGAAGGAAGGGAAAATTGTGAGAAAGCTAGGGAAGGTGTGACAAAAAAATTTTCTGACATATGTAACCATAACCCCTCTGTAAATCATGTTTATAATAAAAATAAAAGTGTGTTGGAACCATCTCCCTATAAATAGCAGCCTCAGGATGGTCCTGACAGCTGTTATACATGACATCACAGTTTTTGGCATTTGTTATCACTAACTGCAGACAGTGGGAGAGAAGGCATTATGCACTTAAGATTTTGTTGAAGTATTTAATGCATTTAACTAATTGACTTTGTCCTTAGGTAAGACACACTAGTAATATTTTTCTTACTATTTTCTTAATTTGCAGGGTTTGCCAGGCCCTCCTGGATTTCCAGGACCTCCTGGCCCACCAGGACCTCCCGGAATCTTTGTGAGTATGAAGCTACTGTTTCTGCAGATTCCAGAAATGAATCAATTACTACAAAAAAAATTTTGGAAAGTTTTCTGTCTGTGTGTACTTCCTACTAGAATTTTGTAGTATTATTACTCTTTTTAAATCTTAATTTGTGGATTTTTTCCTAGGGCTTTCCAGGAGCTCCAGGACCAAGAGGACCTAAGGTCAGCCATATTTCCTATATTTTATCAGTCAGAACACATTAACTCATCAAAAAACAATTCCAACCTGCTCATTCACATGATTGCTATGAGCACATTCCTGGAACTCATAAAGATTCCTCGCAGAGAAGTAAAGGAAGCTAGTAAATCTTACTTCTTTTGAAGAACTTCCTATCAGAAAAAAGGCAATGTTTCCAATGCATAGGTCTTCCATCCTTAATAATCCTCCTTGTTACCCAATAGTTTATCCTATACATTTTCATAGTGGGTTTCTTCACAAAGTCTACCTCATCTTATGTTAGTAAATGAAAGATGACTACATATTGTGCTCATCAAGCTGGGTATTTGATGTGTATCTATTTTTAAAAGACTAATTGTTAGTTTAAAGACACAAAATATTGTGAGGCTATGCCCCACCAGGAAATTATTACCGAGGCATAATGTTTCTTATTCTGTGAGTGGCCTCATATATACGGTATTACCAAGGTGATTTCACATGTATTACTTTACACACACACACACACACACACACAGATACATGCATACTCAGTGATACTGAATGAATGGCAGAGCTAAGATTTAAAGTCTCTTGATTCCTTTGCAATTTCCAGACCACTGGGAGACAGAGGGAGTGAATCCACATAGTCAAGAGCATAAAATAAGTTTACTGATTCTTAGGGCTGGGAAGGTGGCTCAATGGTAGAGTGCTTGCCTTACATGCATGAGGCCCTGGGTTCAATACCTCAGCACCACATAAACAGAAAAAGCTGGAAGTGGCGCTGTGGCTCAAGTGGTAGAGCACTAGCCTTGGGCTGAAGGACAGTACCCAGGCCCAGAGTTCAGGCCCCATGACAGAACAAAAAAAAAAGTGTTATTGGTTCTAATGATGGGTTGATTAATTTCTTAGCTTGTTTCTTGTTATAACTGAATGCTATAGGTTAAGGGGTTTTTTGTGTGTGTTTGAGAATACCATACCGAGGAGTTCCAATTACATGGGCAAGATAACGAGTACATTTCTTATCAAGCATTGTTGCCTCCTCTTTGTTTCCCTTTCCCATCCCTTCCCATCCCCCCCCCACCTGATCCTCCCCGCACCACCAAAATTGTAAAGTTCGTTTTTCAACATAACGACTTGTATATCTCATTGTTGCAATGGGTCCACCTGTATCCCTAGTTAAATGATTTTTTAATTATTATTATAAAGGTCATGTGCAGAGAGGTTACAGTTACAAAAGTCCAGAAAAGAGTACATTTCTTATATAGGTCCAATGGTTTCCCTTATTTGCAATGACTGGTATATATCTGAGACAAGCAGAAAAGGTCAGATAAGATGATGTTAAACAAAATGATCCCCAAGATAAGGACACAAGTGGTTTTTTCTTTCTTGCTGTTGTTTCTAATGTATTTATAAGGGTATCACGTGATTTTTTTTGTTGCTTTGTATGTCCCTCCCCCACAATATAACCCCTGTTTTCACTGTATTTGATGTTGGTATAATTTGGGGAGTGGAAGGAAAAAAACAAATTATTTAAATGGGGATACAGGTTGACCCATTGCAACAATGAGATGTACAAGACGCTATGTCGAAAAATGAAACAAACTTTACAATTTAGGTGGGGGGAGAGAGGGAAGGAATGTAGTTGTGGAGATGGGAGGGAAGGGATGGTAGGGAAAAAACAAAGGAAGGGGCAACAATGCTTGATAAGACATATACTCATTACCTTGCTCGTGTGATTGTAACCCCTCTCTGTACAGTATTTTCACAATAAAAAAACTTATTTAAAAATAAAAAGAATATATTTCTTTTTGAACAGGAGATTGAGTATTTTATCTCACAAATAATTTAGTCTTTACAATTCTAGAGGCTGGGAGGTCTGATGTAGAAGAGTTACATCCCAAGGGGGCTGTCTTGCTAATGGAGACCACAAAGCCCAGGACAACAGGGTCATCCCATAATAAGAGACAGTAAGATAGCCACTCCCACTGTAATTCATTTCTTAATCCATGAATGAGTGGATCCCTTCACATCTTAAAGCACCACCTGGTGCCAACTCTTAAAAACCTTATGATGGTTTGGCAATTAAATTTCAATCCGTGTTGCAGTGGGGATTCAAACCATAGCAACCGACTTCAGTGAGGGGAAATTATCCATGTTAGATTTCTTTCCTGTCACTAAACAAATAGTGGCATTCCATTCTTAGCTTCTTGATTATGTGTTGCATTTCAAGGTCCTGAGGCCCAGACACACATCCCTCTTATTTTTAGGATGAGAGAACTAGGGCATGAAGAAGTTAAGCAGCCAACTCAGGACACTAAGTGGTCATCAGAAGCAGGAAGCCAGTAGACTCAAACCTAGCTAGTGACTGAGCCAGAGAAATGTCCTGCCTGCTAGTTTCCTTTCCACACCATCGTGTGTCATCATTCAGCATATTAAGTAAATCTCTGAACCCCTCAGTACCTCAAGACTGTCACCTGTAAAAGAAACATTACTATAATACTCTAGGATGGAGATTGAAATATGATGTTCAGTTAAAATGTTGGAACTATAATAGTGTTGGAAAATCCATTCTTTGTTTTGAAATCTACTGCTTCATTTTTTTTCTTACAGGGTTATATGGGTGATAACGTGGTTGGACAGAAAGGAGAGCGGGTAATTTAATCACTATGGTTCATTGGTGGGGGAAAAATACGTGAAGTTCCATAGTTCATTCACTAGCCAACTTGAAGTTAATGCATTTTCATTGGCTCTGTCTTCTTGCATGAAAACTAGAAAAGCAGATGGTCTAAACCTAGTAGATTTGAAATGTTGATGATGTTCAGTTTCTCATTTTGGGGTGTATTTGTCTTTAGGGTATAAAAGGATTAACAGGACCTCCTGGACCACCAGGAACTGTTATTGTGACACTCACCGGCCCAGAAAACAGAACGGTAAGGCTGCATCTTCCTGTTGAAGGGATAAGGTCCTGATGAGGCTTTGCCTCTTTATGTGCCCAGTCATAAATCCAGCTCAGCCCAGCCCCCTGGGCCAGCGTAAAACTCTTCCGTTTTATTCCTCCCACCTCTCCACTGGTTATTTGCAAATGTTAGAAGGTACTCTGAGAAAAGACACTTAATAACCTGAGCCTGAGTTTGTTCACCCTTACATTGCCATGTTTCTCCTTGTGCCTAACACCGAGGGTGACCCTGATGTCATTAGCTGGTAATGACCTGAATGGAGGAGGAGGGATCCCTCAATCAAATGATACTCGGGCCTTGCAACTCCATGAACCTTGTAGTGCTCAGTCCTTACCACTGCATCTTTATTCCCACTGAGTGTGGCTAGAAGGACCAGGACATAAAGCTGGATTTGATGCTTAGGAAATCAACCCACAATAACATCTACCAGTCCTTCCACCGGGTGGAGGGGGACGAGGAAGAGAGAAGGTAGTTATTTGTGCTCTTGTGGATTAAGGAACACCAACCATCCTTCTCTTTTAAATTCCCAATTAGTTATTTGAAATAAGAACTTGATTGAGATATAATTTACACACTATAAAATATACTTTTTTAAAGTATACATTTCATAGGACTTAGTTATAACAAATCTTTAACACCTTAATTGAGGTATGATTTACACGGTATTAAATTCACTCATTCGGTGTACAAATAAATGGATTTTAGACATTCATTAAATTGGGTAACCATTGCTACAAGTCATTTTTTTTCTGGTCCTGGAGCCTGAACTCTGGGCCTGGGCACTGTCCCTGAGCTCCTTTTGCTCAAGGTTAGAACTCTATCACTTGAGTCACAGCGCCACTTGCAGCTTTTTTTTTTTCTGTAATTAATTGGAGATAATAGTCTCATACACTTTGCTGCCCAGGCTGACTTCAAACTGCAATCCTCAGATCTCAGCCTCCTGAGTAACTAGTGTTACAGGCATGAGCCACCAGCTCCTGGATGCTACAATCAATTTCAGAGCATTTTCATGAGAAAAAGAAACCCTGTAGCATCACTCACCCCCATGCAATACTAATAATCAAAACAAAACGAGTAAGAGTTAAAATAGCATGCAGTCAGATATGGTCAAAATAATAACTCACACTGAAGGCTGGTAAAAGAAATGGCCTGAAGAAAATAATTAAATTTTCAGAGGCAATCCATTAAAATAATAATAATAAACCTAAGAACTCATAGTTGGAAAAGTTTACAAAATCTAGATTTGCAAAATTTGACCTGGGAAAACTAATTTAGGGTAGTAGTGTTGTTTTTTTAAAGGTACTCTTAAATTAAAAGTTACATTGGGGAAAACATATAACAATTACTTGTGATCAAGTCTCAAAACAATCTGAATTTAAAAAATCACATCATTGTACTTGTGCAAAGAATTATTGATCCCAAAGAAAATAATTTTAGTATGTTAGAAGCAAAAGTAAAATATATTTGAAATTATCTGACTGTGCTTACAGAAAGCTGATTCAGTAAATTAATTCAAAGTAGTTTGATTTTCAAAAGATGTTTTAATGATCCTGTTGATACACAGTTTTCGTGGAATCTTGTGTATGAAATATGAAATGTGAGAACCAGGAAGAGCTATTGGTTTGTATTAGCACAGACATGTGAGTGTTAGTAAATTCAGTTTATTGAACAGAGAACTTTTCCAACTGTCATCAATATATCATTTACTTGGTTTGTTTGTCATGACCCTGAATTGTTTTGTGGCAGGACCTCAAGGGGGAGAAAGGAGACAAAGGAGCTACTGGTGAACCCGGACCTCCTGGACCCCCAGTAGGTCATTTAGATTTACTTTATTCCCGTGATATACATAGAGTACAGTGTGTGTGTGTGTGTGTGTGTGTGTGTGTGTGTGTGTGTGTGTGTGTGTGTATGTGCCAGTACTGGGACTTGAACTCAGGACTGAGGTACTGTTCCTTAAATTTTCCACTCAAGGCTGGTGCTCTACCACTTGAGCCACACCTCCATTTTCCAACCCACTTTCCTACCCAGGCTGGCTTTGAACCTCAGTCTCCAGATCTCAGCCTTCTGGGTAGCTAGGATGACAGACATGAGTCACCAGTGCCCTGCTGTCTTTAAATCCCAACATTAGCTAAAGCAGGGTTAACAGTTGACCATAGAGATCATGAATACACTAGAATTATTTTTCTCTCCCTTTTTTATATGAAATTGTTGCCCTATTTTATGTTTATGACTGATCTGTAGCATCTGATTTTTTTATTGTGAAAATACCGTACAGAGGGGTTATAATTACATGGGCAAGTTGATGAGTACATTTTTATCAAGCATTGTTGCCTCCTCCTTTGTTTCCCCTTCCCATCCCTTCTCATTGCCACTCCTGCCCCCCACCCCCCGCCAAAGTTGCAAAGTTTGTTTTTTGACATAATGATTTGTACATCTCATTGTTGCAATGGTGTAGCACCTAATTTTTAACATATGTTTTAAAATTAATCTCATGAATAAGATTTCCTTTTGAGATGACCTATGTTTAAATATCCTAGAATACTCAGAAGGGAGAAAATAAGTTAAAATTGCAGTCATCATTATAAAGCTTATTATAATTCAAATTCAAACAGGGACTGCCTGGAGAATCCTATGGATCTGAAAAAGGTGCTCCTGGAGAACCTGGTGCTCAGGTGAGCGTGGAAATTCAACATCCTGTGGGGCCTGTATTAGCTGAAACTCAGGACTGTTTTGGTTGCAAGAATGAGAAGTCCACGTGGCTCCAACTAGCTGAATTTAAAAAAAAATCTATATATTAAAAGTGCTAGGATTTATATATTCAAGTATATATATATATATATATATATTAAAGATTTTAGGACTTATATATTCAAGTATCTGAGAAGTTCAAGACCAAAACAGGGGGTGGGGGGAGGGGGGAGGCTGGGAAGGGAGGTGAAGGGTAAACAAAGGAGGAGGATGCAATGCTTGGTAAGAAATGTATGCATTATCTTGCCCATGTAATTGTAACCCCTCTGTACAGTATGTTCACAAATAAAATAAAATTTAAAAAAAAAGACCAAAACAGGCTTCAGGAAATTAGAAGCTGGGACATTATTTTCACTTCACTTCTGCACCTCTCTGCTGATGAGTTTCATGCCATCCTTTGGTACATAAGCATCTTCTATGTAGAAAGAGAAAGCTTCAGGCTAGTGATATAGGAGGGGAAAGTATCCTTCTCCCACTGGACCTATAGAATTAATCTGATTGGTTCAACTTTGTGAGGATTCATGCTGACTGGTTCAATTTTCTTAGGATTCATTCTGATTGGTTCAACTTTCTCAGGAGTCATGGTTATGGAAAAGATTTGCATTGATCAGTGGTTTCTACATGAGTCAGCAGAGCAATGGGTTTCTGTGGATATGAGAGGTCCCATCAGCACCACTCAGAGAGAGGGGAAAGCAATCTGCAAAGGAAATGAGTGTTCTGTAACCAAAAATGGGATGTTGAGAAAATAGAAGCTCTAGAGTCCCACTCCACACCCAACTCTAGTTTGGACAGGCATAAACATATACATTGTAGAGAGAAAAAAAAACCACTACAAAATACATGATGGAAAATGTGGAATTTATTTCCCTAAAAAAATAATATTCAGACAGCATGAATTTTTAATTCTATCAGAAAATGTCCTCACTGTAACAGTTGATTCAAAGTCATGTTTGTCTACACACCATGACTATGCGTACATACATACACATCGTGCATATATATGCATACATAAATATATACATATACACACGTACATACAAACATGGAAACATGTTTAAGAAACTATATTTCAAATTAATTCACTAGCTGTTGATACTTCTGTATCCTTACTCACTTCTCTGCTCAATGCTTCCCTGATTTTTCTTCTAAGCTTAGGGTGGCCAGCATTAATTGTAGTTTAAGTTAACCTGTTAACTTCCTGTCTTCTTCTTTTGACTCTAATTTGCCATTCTGACTGGCTTCCACCTTCCCTAGCAAAAGATGCTTATTGTGTGCTCTGCGATTAATGGATTTACCTCTTAAAATCCAGGGAAGGGGCAGCTAACTTTGACTCTCCTACCAGATGTCAACATGGTTGTTAACATTTAAGTTTTCTATGTCTATTACAGTTATCTGCACTTAATAATTTACATGTTTTGGTTTGTTTTAGGGGAAACCTGGGAAAGATGGTGCTCCTGGCATTTAAGTTTTCTATGTCTATTACAGTTATCTGCACTTAATAATTTACATGTTTTGGTTTGTTTTAGGGGAAACCTGGGAAAGATGGTGCTCCTGGCTTCCCTGGCACTGAGGTAGGTTTATATTTTAGGTGGATCATCTGCATGTGAAAGAAAACATGTGCTCTTTGTCTTTCTGATCCTGGCTAAGAATTTCTCCAGATCCATATATTCCTCTGCAAATGACATAATTTTATTCTTCTTGATAGACAAACAAAACTGTATTGTTTGTATATGCACACACACCTTTTTTTTCTTGATCCATTTATTGTTTATAGGACATCTGGACTTTTCTCCTAACTTGGCTATTGTGAATAGTGCTACAATAAACATGGATGTGCAAATGATGTCATTATATCTTTAACTTTCATTCCTTGGATAAATAGCCAAGAGTGGTGTTAGGATAATTTTCTTTTTAATTTTGGAGGAGACTCCATACTGATTTTCACAGTGGTTGCATTCATTTCTGTCCCTACCAGTAGTGCATATATAAACATATGCAGGGTTATAGACATGTACAGGATAAAAATGACTGAGGTGTGGTGTACTCAGGAGTGAGAGTCCATAATGTAACCACTTGGAGAATGAATAGACAGTTTAACAAAATGAATAGCAGGTTGTTGAAACATGTCTTTACTTGTGATTTGTGGGGAGGCAGTATTGGGAGGAAGAAGAGGTGAATGGAAGAGGAATGGTAGGCAAATGCAGCCATAATACTCAATGTACACATGTGAAAAATGGAACTAGGAAATGAGGAAATGGCTGAGGAGGAGATAGATAGGGAAGGATAGAAGTAATGAATGACCAAGAAGATACATTGCACACATAAATGGACATGTTAAGTTGAAACGCCTTTGTGTGACTATTTGAAGATAATAAAAATTAAGACTTGAGGTCTGGGAAGGTGGCTCAGTGGTAGAGTGATTGCCTTGCATGTATGAGGCCCTGGGTTCTATTCCTCAGTACCACATAAACAGAAAAAGCCAGTAGTGGCGCTGTGGCTCAAGTGGTAGAGCGCTAGCCTTGAGCTGAAGAGCTGAGGGACAGTGCCCAGGCCCAGAGTTCAGGTCTCATGACTGACTAAAAAAAAAAAAAATTAAGTCTTGAGTAGGCTATTGGTATAATGAAAAATGGTGGTCCTACTAGATGAAGAGATTCCCTAAGTAGTTTAAACTAACAAAAATGCTTATAGATTTAAAGACTATATCTGGGAATCATAATTGTATATATTCACAATGGATAAAAGTAATGGAACACATTACTTAACATGCATGAATCGCATGATCAGCATTTAAGTGAAAAAAGCCAGATAAAATGCAAAATCTCCATGAACAATTTAGAAGTGGAATTCAAAGAAGTAGAGAAGAGAAAAATGGGGAAGAGTAATGGGAGAGAGGGATAAGGAAATGTTGGTCAACAGATTCAAAGTTATAGTTAGATAGAGGAAAAGCTTCACAGTAGAATTACTTAACAGCTAGTTATGGTTTCAATCAAAATTATAAATGATTGAAATGATAGAAATGTTCATTAATCTGATCTGATCAACAATCAAGTATGCAGTATGAGCTATACAATTTTTATGCTGAATAAAGATGTATAACTATTATGTCAATTTGAAGGGCATATAAATTTTAATATTAAAAAAATGCAGACTGCTCTTGCTTCATATAAAAGCATTTGGTCCATGACATCTGACCCCTTTTGTTTTTTTCTTTAGGGAGCCAAGGGCCACAGAGGCTTCCCTGGGTTAAGGGGTGAAGTTGGACTTAAGGTAAGTCCCTCCCTAATAGCATAAGCCTTTAGTTGGTTGGGCATTTCCTGCCTTCCAAAGGAAAAAAAAATGCAATTACAAACTTCACTAAGATATCACCTTAAGATATTTGCAAAGAGGAAATAATAGACGTGGCAGCTTTATGTAAACATTTGAAGGATGTTCTTAGGGAAGAATACTGAGAGTGGTCTATATAGTTGAAGCTGGCTAACTTAGGACCCTACAAGTTTAGCTTCCCATGAGAAAGGTTTTAGAAAAAGGCCTATAATGTAATTTTTTTGTCATTTGAGGATCTTTGATTCCAAATCTCAGTCCTGGATCCCTTTCGGGACCTGACTGTGAAGTGTATTCCACATAATTTGTTTCTGAACTGTTACAGGCATGTACAAATAATCTGTATAAATGTGTGTGTGTGTGTGTGTGTGTGTGTGTGTGTGTGTGTGTGTGCACAGACTCCAGGTTTATCCTTCAATGATATCATTTCTCATAGAATCTTAGAATGTTCTCCTAACACACAGGAGGTTGGGTATAGGAAGGACACTGAACATTTCTTATATCCCACAGCATGAATTCTCTGCCTAGAATCTAAGTGAGAATGTGAACATGTGGAGCATGTGAACATTCAGTGAAGGGAGTGTGGAAAAGACCTGGAGGACCAATTCAGGAACAATCATTTCCTCATGATTTTGTAGATAGGATTCATGACTCACCTAAGGGTTCTCCAAGGAGATAATTTATAGAGAATGCCCCTTTCATTTGTACACTATGCAAACACTGACACTGCTTTTAGCATTAACTTACTGCTCAACTTTTCATTTTGCTTTAAAACATAAATAAATCTACATTTATATTCGCATGTATTTATATTCTAATATTATATACCAGAGGCTCTTGGGTTATGTGTTTGTAATGTGTAACTGTCTTTCACTATAGGGATGGAAAGGAGACCCAGGCCCTCCAGGATTTCGTGGTCCAGTAAGTGTAACTAGAAATGAAACTCATGTCATAATAGGTTAAGCCTTTCAAAGTTCTGCGGGAGTTTTGAATCAGGGTTTCTCAATTCTTGTGACGGACATGATAGCATTCAACTTTTTATCAAACCAGAGCAAAAAACAAACAAGCAAAATTAGCTGCTGTCAATCATGTGTCTGCTTGGCAATGGATAGATATTCCTAGTTCATTCTTTTTGGTGCCTGGGATGCACTAGTAATGCCTCCCTCAGGCTCTGGAAAAGGTAAGCTTGGCTTGGCATAAGCATACTGTCCCAAGGCAATCCTGTATCCTTGGAGGGCTGGTCCTAAAGACAGCAGGGGCGCCTAAGAATGAAAGGGACAGCTCCCCTCTCCCCTGCCTGTACCCAGTTATAACTAGAGCTTTCAGGAAGCAGAAGTTCAGCCAGAGGCTTCTTGCAAGGTAAAAAAAACAATCATCTCAGCCCAAGTTCCATGGCAGCAGATGGTACTCTCCTCCTCAGCACAGTAACACCCGGCATGCCCCCTTGCCATCAGGCCACATTCTCTGTTCCGTGGGCCCTAGGAGAAGAATGAAGGGACCTTCGTCTCTGAATCCTAGCATCTGCCCCATTCCTGTCTAACAGCAGGGAGTCTCACGGTGCTAAGCAAGGCTGCTACGTCTGATTGTGCAGACTGGAAATTGTACAAGGCAAGAGTCAAGGAGAAGGGTCATCTTGTTAAAGATGCAGTTTTACAGCCCCAAGCTGAGTAACTGAATTTTAGTAAATAAAGGTGGGTCCCCCAAATAATGGGTCCTCAAGTAATAGAACTACAGATAATTTCAAACAGCTTTAGGGAGTTATCAGGAAGATTAAATGAGCTATTCAGAGCCCAACACCTGGTAAGTGCACACCTGCCATTATAGATTTTTTGATGGAGGCTTTTGTGTGTTTATATACAATGATTAACCACAAGGCTCTTGATTCCTCATCTTTTTACAAGTTGGCAAAATAATTAGCCCATGCATCATATGAAAAACAAAACAAAGTCTAAAAAAAATAAAGGCAAGCATGGAGATGTAGTTCTGTAATTTAAGGCTAACTTATGTTACATAGTGAGACTCTGTCTCAAAAATATAACCAGTCAAACAAAAAAAGCAAAATTTTCATAATTTCATCTGCACCAGTGTCATCCAAAATAAATGCACTGAATTAGGTGTCTGTGGCTCACACCTGTACTTCTAGGCACTCAGGAAGCTGAGACCTAAGGATCAAGGTTCAAAGCCAGCTGGGCTTTAAACTGGAAGTACATTTCATAATACTAGCCCAGCTAGGAAAGTCCATGAGACTCTAATCTTCAATAAACTACCAAAAAAAGCTGGAAGTGGAGCTGTGACTCGAGTGGTAGAGTATTAATCTTCAGGAAAAGAAGCTCAGAGTTCAAGACCTAGGACTAGCACAAAAATCAATAGATGATAGATACAGAAAGAGAGAGAGAGAGACAGAGAGAGAGAGTGCTTTGACTTCTATGCAAAATTTATTTACATTTTACTGTAGAGGAATTCTTAGCATTCCTAGCTTACTATGTATTCTTACATTCAATCCTAATTCAACGCTGTTTTGCAGTCCTTTATAAATTGAAGAGAAATTCTGCTCAGAAAGTAAATGGTTAAAACCAGTAATAGATCTACTGAGCATCACAGAAGCAATATCCCTTAATTCTTCTAGGCCAATAGAATCCCTAAGTTATAAAAAATGGCATTCACTGTATTTTGAATTAAATTTAGTCCCTCAAGATCAGTATTTGAAAACAGCCAAATAGAATGGAATTAAAATATCAGAGTTGTTCACACTTCATAAAGCTGTTTCACAAACTTTTAACTTTTCTATATACATATGCATGCAAACAGAGGTATCTATAAGTGTCAATGTGTACATACTCATATGTAAACTGGGCTGTATTATGAAATGTACTTCCAGTTTAAAGCCTATGAAATATATGATGATTTCAGTAATATCAGCTTTGTCTTTAAATTTATCCATGTCTACCACCTTCGTGATAATGTATAAATCTATAGATTCAAGAAAGTAAGTAAATTGCTTGTTTTGGACAAAATGAAGAAATTGAAGTAATTGTACTTGGTGAACAAGGGATAGTCTTCTTCTTTATTCATTTCCTTCTCCTTTAAGACAGAATATTATGACACTTACTGGCAAAAGGGAGATGCAGGAATTCCAGGGCCCCCAGGGCCCAAAGGAGTTCGTGGCCTACCAGGTGAGGATAATTTCTTCCTGAAGCCTTTGATGATCACTGTTGTGTCTTTATTTTAAGGTAATTGATACCATGTGCTTGTAATTTTAGGACTGTCAGAGTAGAGAGAGGAAAGACAATTCTCCTATGTTTGATTAGTGGTGGTGTATTTTGCCATCTCCTCATTTTCATAGTTTTATACTAAAATTTTGTAAGTGGCATAGCATGGACACTGATTAAATTATTTCTGCACTACTCTGGACAGAGAACAAGATCACAAGAAGTAAGCAATCTTAGCAGGATTACAAAAGAGAAAACAGAGGCCCTGAAAAGACATAAATTGAGTGTTCCCACACTAATAATTATGATTGTAGAGTGTAAGCCCAATTCTCCTCACTTCTGGAACTGATATGTCCAAGCACTGTAAGTTCATACCACATGTGCACATATGTCATCATTGTTTATAGATCTAAACATTCTTAGGCAGTAAGTTTCATACCTGACTTATGGGAAATTCTCACAAATGGCCTCATTAAGGTTCCACGTTTGAGATTATGGTTTTATTTTTCTGGAGGAATGTCCTGAACACTGGTAGACTGTAACAATTCCTAAATTCTTCTAATGCACAGCCAGGATTGAGAATCACTGATCTAAAGGGATGAGAATGGAGCTCAGTGGTAGAGCACTATGGGCAAGGCCCTAAGTTCCAGAAAGAGAGAGGGGGGTGAAGAAAGAAAGAAAGAAAGAAAGAAAGAAAGAAAGAGAGAGAGAGAGAGAGAGAGGGAGGGAGGGAGGGAGGGAGGGAGGGAGGGAAAGGAAAGAAAGAAATGAAAGAGAGAGGGAGGAGAAAGAGAAAGAAAAAGAGGGGAAGAAAGAATGAGAGAAAAAGAGGGAGGGAAACCCAGACTTGGTACATATCTGTAATATCTACAGGTGGAGAGAGGGTATCTTCTCAAGAGGACAGTAAGTTCAAGACCAATCAGGGTTATACAATGAAATCCTTTCTTAAAAGCTCAACCAAGCAGCTGGTACCAGTGGCTTGCCTGTGTAACCCTAAGTACGTAGGATGCTGAGATTGTTGAATCTTGATTTGAGGTCATCCCAGGCAGAAGTGTTCTCAAGACACTTTCTCAATGAAGAGCTGGATAGGTGGTATACACACTTATCTAGCTACCAAGAAGCCTGATGTGGGTGGATCCTGCCCAGGCATGCAACCCTGCAGGAAGCAAGACAGTACTTAAAAACCACGAGCAGAAAAATAGGGATGGAAACATGACTCAGTGGTTAGAATGCAGCACTGCCAACAAACACCAACCAACCAAAGACAATCATTGGTCTAAGACAAGTTATGAATAGAAATAAGATTTATTAGATTTTCAAAGGAAAATTTTAAGGAGTAAAAATCCCAATATATTTAAATGGCAGACAAAGATAGATTTTTTTTTGCTTAATCCTATTTTTTTTATTGTGAACATACTGTACAGAGGGGTTACAATTACATGGGCAAGATAGTGAGTACATTTCTTATCAAGCATTGTAGCCTCCTCCTTTG